GAGGCCACCTATGCTGGGATGGGGCGCTCCGCGCAAGGGTGATTCGCCCGTAGGCGATGCACTGTCTGATCTTCGTCCGGAGCCGCCTCTGCCGACTCCAAGGCCGCACAAGCACGTGACGTTTCATTGCACGCTGCAAGGCGGAGGCAATGGGCAATGCGGCGCTCGTCAGGGGTCGGGGTCGCGGCGCGGGCGCGGCGTGTCATGCGTGCAGCAAGGGGTGTGCGGCGGTGGAGCGCCTCTGCTATGAGGGCGTCCGAATCTCCACTAAAGAAGCGCGAAATGCACGCAGTGATGGCCGCCGTATGTGATCGTGCTGGTGGTGTAGCAGGCGTGAGGAGGAGGGTCAGAAACGTCGGCCAGCCCGCCTTGGGGTGCTGGCTGATGCGCTGCAAGATAGCGCAGAGGACATCCACGTACCCCCCGCGAACCCTCGGCAGGATGCGCCGGAGCGGGTGGGCATACATGCGTCTCGATGAGAAATAATCCGTCCAATCGACCGCATCCATGAACGACCACTGGGCGTTCGAGAATGTGATGACGGAGGCCCGTGGCTCGCTGATTGAGGGAGGGGAAGAGGTGGCATCTTGAAGGGCCTCAGCCCTGTGTAGAGCATCGGCGGGCTGGCAATGGGGTGCATGGTGAGCAAGAGCGTGGCTGCTCGCCAAGGTGCTCCGGCAGGTAGGACACGTGACTGCTAGTCCTCCTGCAGGCGCCGCTGTGTCGTGCGGGGGGACTGGCATCGTGCCCTCCGAGCTGTCAGCGCCGGCGGCTGCCCCATCGATGGGCCCCTGTCCGAGGTTAGTGGCCCAAAGGGGGGCCGGGCCGTGCGTCTGGGGCGGGCAATGCAATGGCTGGGGGGGAGGAGCGACGGCCGGATGCGCGGGTGTGGGTGAGGATGGTATGACCTGGGGGACGGTGACTGGGGCGGGGCATGCGTCCCGATGGCAGGCTGGAGCGGTGGTCACATCTGGGCAGAGGGGGTGGTCGGGGGGCGTAGGAGTTGGGGTGTGGGCACCTGGAGCGGTGGTCACATCTGGGCAGAGGGGGTGGTCGGGGGGCGCGTCGGAGTCATCGATCACCATGCGCTCCGGTGTGAGGGCGGTGGACGGGGGGGAAGGGCGGGCAGGGGGAATGTCTGGGGCAGAGTCCACGGCGCCCCCCCCCACCCGACCCGAACAAGCGGGCGCAGAGGGGGTGGCGGACGTGTCTCAGATCCTGAGAAGGTCAGCAACTGCCACCTCCGTCTCCCAATCCGCCCCCTGCGACTGTCCGCCTGTGGGTAGGGGAAGCAGGGCGGGCTTGTTGGTCGTGGTGGGCAGACCGCCGTGGGCCCTGACCTGGGTGGGAGGTTGTGGATTGGAGGGGGACAAAGAAGCGGGTGGTGGGGACCGACGCTGGGGGGGGATATAGAATTGCTTGTGAGAGGCTAACAACACCTCTTCCACCTCCAGTTCGATTTCCATCGCGGATGGGGCGTCGGCGGCGACCATCTAGTGGGGGGCCAAAGGCGGGATGGGGGGGTGGCAGGGGAGTGGGGCCTGGGTGGGGTGAGGGAGGGAGACCGTCCGAAGCTCGCCATCCTGGTTATGGGAGGGCGGTGGGTGGCGGGCCAGGGACAATGATGGGGTCGCCTGAGGGGTGGTGGATGGTAAGGGCTGCACGCCAGCAAAGGGTGGAGTCATGTCCTGCTGCTCCGAGTGGGGGGCTGCCCCAGGTGTCCCCTTGCCCTTGCCCTTCTTCCGGCGACCTGTGTGGGGTTGTGCAAACTGTCCAATCAGGGGCTGTCATGTGACCGCCCCCTGCTATGGGTGAGGAGTGTGAGAGTGGGACAGCTGGGAGGGTGAGGGGGTATGGCCGCCTGCAGCGATGGGCTAGCCTGCGCATGGATGGCGGCCTGCCCTGGGGCGGGTGCAGATGGGGACACGGGGGGAAAGAGAGGGGTGGTGGCGGTGGTGGAAGCGGCAGCACCTCCCGCGGTGCACCGCCCTCCCCCGAAGCTTAGCTGTGGGGCTAGGGAAGTGGGATCTGCCGGGGTGAGACGGCGAGGGCTGAGAGGGAGTTGATTCAGGTTGCTCCCCCTTGCCAGGGGTGCACCCCGCTCGCCTTTCCCATGGGCAGCGCCCTTGTGGCCTACAGGGTGTGTGCCCGGTCCCGGGCGGGAGGCACCTGGCGTGGAACAGGGTGGGTGGCGGACTGACGAGGGGGATCAGGCAAGAGCTGCCCCTCGTGCTACAAAAGTCGAGGCGTCCGGCGCGGCCTCCCGCAAGGGTGGGGGGGAGGAGGGAGCGGCCTGCCCGGCTGTTGTTCGTGCTCCTGGCGCCGGCGCGAGGGCTGGTGGGGGAGAGCATGGGAGGGTTGAGTCGGCCAGGATGTATCCGGCGAGCGGGCCAGCATTGTCCGTGCCATCCTCGGCGACCGCCTCGTGGGGCACACTCGACTGTAAGGGGAGGGTGTGGGGGGAAAGGGAGTGGTGAGGCTGAGTCCCGATCGTTGGCTCGGGTGAACAGGGGTCTGCCAAAAACGCCAGGGCTCGGGCCACCCCACCCATAGCCCTGCGTTGTAGCCCAGGGCGAGGGCCCGCCACCACTGGTGGATGGGGTAATACATGGGGGGAGGGTCGGGGGGGAGGGGTGGGCGTAGAGAATGGTGACTCTGCTCCCGTCCCTCTTCCAGGCTCCCTTGAAGCAACCCCTGCATGCATGGGATTGGGAGTAGGGGGGGGAAGGGGGGGACGGGGGACTGCAAGGGAAGTAGGGGGGGGAGGGGAAGGAGGGGGGGGGAGGGGGGAGATGGGGGAAGGGGGTGGGGATGAGACAGTCTCTGCCTGCCCAGGTACTACCCTGTGTCCGGCCTCCTCAGCCCTTGTCCCAGTTCCTCTGGCTGCTGTCTCTCTCACTACCCCTCCTGCCGGAGCTACTATAGCTGCTGCCCTTCCTGCAACGGCTCCAGCTTCCCTCTCCCGTGCAGCACCTCCTGCTGCTGCCCTTGTTCCTCCTGTTGCTGCCTTCCCTGCTGCCGCCCCAGCTGCCCTTCCTGTTGCTACCATCCCCGCCGCAACCCCAGCTACTGACTCCCCTGTGGCATACCCTGCTGGTCCTGTGCTGCCTTCCCTCCAGCCGCTCCCACTCCTTCCCCCAGTGCGGCACCCCCTGCTGCCCCTTTGTCAGCTGTCACTGCCGCAGCCGCCGCCGCCGCCGCCGCTGTCACGGCCCTGCTAGCTGCTGCCTTTGAAACAGCGTGACCCATTGCTAATTTCCCTGCTGCCGCTCCTGCTGCTGCCTTCCCTGCCGCAGCACTTGCTGCCGGCAACCCTGCGGCGCTCCCCCTGGCTGCCTTCCCCGCAGCGGCGCCTACCTCTGCCTCCTCCGCTGCTGCCACAGCGGCAGCCAGACGTGCATACATCCCCCCCCTGGTAACAGCCCATGCAAGAGCGCATACGACAGCTCCCTTTGCTGCCGCCTCCTCCGCCGTAGGTAGCCTTGCCGCTGCTGCCGCGCCGGCGGCTCTACTATCCCTGCCACTCCAGCTGCTGCCCAAGTTGCTGCTGCACGTGCTTCTGTTGCTGCTGTTGCTGCCGCTGCTGCTGCTTCTACAGCTGCTGCTGCCTCTGCCGTTGCCCCTGCCCTCACGGCCTTAGCAGGGACTCCTTCTGCTGCTTCCCTTGCATCTGCCCTGGCCGCTGCAGCAGCCCCAGCCGTAACCGCCTCCGCCTCTGCGGCATCCCGAGCCCCGGTCGCTACGCCCCTCGCAGGATCGGCTGCTACCTCCTCTGCGGTGGCAGCCCCAGCTGCTCCTGCCGCCGCCTGCACCGCAGCCCCTGTTGGTGCAACCCTATGGCTTGCACTCGGCTTGTCGTCCTTGTTTGTGTGTGTGCATGCATGGCATGGAATGAGTTGTGAGTCTATGTCATTGCTATCTAGTGCTTACGTGTGTGTTTGAATGGTGTATCACAATGTGATTTGTGTCAGTCAAGACCTTAACGAGTTTTCACAACTCGCATGTCAAGTCGTCGTTTGCGTGTCGCATGTGTTTTTCTATTTTGTCGAGTGTGAATTGTCCATCGCGTCGCAGGTGTGTGCAGCAAGCCCTCATCACTTCAGGAAGAATTTATCTTGCAGAATCAAGACCAAGAGCTCAAGATTTCAAGCCCAAGAGAAGTGGATAAATATTAAAATAGTGAAAATAGTAATGCTACTTCATGAAGTGTTACATTTCACTTGGTCCAGCCCCTGGTTGAGTTTGTTTCGAGTCCCTTCGTGGTTGGGGACTCTGTGGTGGTGTACCACCACCCTCGACCTCGGCTCTTAGGGCTTGTAGAGGCTGAGAACTATCTCAATCTCGATTCTTCTTGCTAAGGTTGTACTTGTACCGTAATCCCCCGGATATAACACCCGCCGGAATAGTCACTCCATGGGTGGTTAATATGGGGGGGAGCTTATGATATGGTGCATTTTTGAGAGTACCCGCTTTTCAGGTGACGAATTTTACATAACACCCTCCTCGTTTTATTCGTTTGAAAACTGAATTTGTTCTTGTATTACAAGGTCCGCTCAGTTGCAAAAAGCGAGCATGATGAAATCGTGCGTCAACAACCGTTAGCACCGGAAAAACCGGGCAGAAATGAATTGTTGGGAATCGAATTGAGGGGAAGGAGGAATCGAATTTTGGGGGAAGGGGGAATCGAAAACGTGGGGGGAAGGGGGAAGGGAATCGAAAATGTGGGGGGAAGGGGGATTCGAAACTTTCAGGGGGAGGGGGATTCGAAATTGTCAGTGAAGGGGGAATCGAAATTGTCGGTAAAGGGGGAAATTCTCGGGGGGGGCTGAAACCGTTGGGCCAGGGGGTTACGATATTGTGGGGGAGACAGGAAAATCATATTGTTTTTCCTCGTTAGCAGCTGCTCCGCACCCTTATGGGCAAATAGGGCATGTAACACTCGAATTCATTTTGCATTTTACATAACACATGGGCGTTATATTTTTCCGGGCCACTGTTAACACCCACTCATTTTTTTAGTGAATTTTCATATCCACCATAGGGTGTTATATCCGGGGGATTACGGTAACACTATAGTGGCTACTATACCTCCTGCCAGTCAAACCGCCATAGCGTCGTCAAATCTTCATGGAATTTCATGATTCAACTTGCTGCTGATAGGCGATAGCAACGCGCTTCAGATCCAACTTACAGATCACCGTTTGACTCAACGACCACATCGGCATCAATATTTGAAGCCGTCTGACGCAAATCCGACTGTGCTCTCTATCTCTCATTTTAGGCACATCTAAGCCTATTGTGATTATAACAGCCCCCACATCTGCCGCCTTTGCAGGGGTGCCTGCTGCTGCTGCCACCCCCAAATCCGCCCCGACTGCCTCGATGGCCCCTCCTGCTGCTGCTGCTGCTGCCTCTGCCGCTGCCGTCTCCCCAGCCCTAGCCGATGCACCCCTTGCACGATCCACCGTCGCCGCCGCTGCCCGTGCTCCTGCTGCCACCGCCTCTGCCACCGCCCCAGCTGCTGCTGCTGCTGCTGCCGCCACCGCAGCGACCCCCTCCTCGGCTGCTGCCACCTCTAGAGCAGCCCCAACTCCAGCGGCTGCTGCTGCTACCTCTGCAGGATCTCCTTCTGCCGCCCCCGCCGCAGCCGGCCCCGATGCCTTCCCCTCCTCTGCTCCGGCTGCTGGTCCTGCCAATTGTGCAACTCCTGTCGCTGGCTCCCCTGCGGAGGACATGGTTTTGAGCTTGGCTGCACTAGGAGCGGGTGCTATAAACTCGACTACGTCCTCCTCCGAGTCCTCGGCGCCCCCCAAGACCCAATCCAAGTCCTTCGTGTCATCCCCATCCGAGTCCCCCGCCTCGTCCCACTCCGAGTCCTCACCAGCCCCCACAGTCTCCGCTGATCTTTCCCCCTCTACTCTCTCCGTCACCCCCTCTTTCACCTTCCACACCCCCCCCTCAACTGCCGCCTCTGCGGGACCCCCCAGTACTGCCGCAACCTCTGCGACAAGCCCTGCTGCCGCCGCCTCACCTGTGCGAGCATTGGTACTTGTGGCCGTGGGGGTGGAGGAGGTGGGGGCTCTCGAAGCACTAAAGTAGGCCTGTGGGAGTGGCGGAAGGGGGGCAGAGGATTTTTTTCGACCTGGGGAGCGCGAGCGTGTGGCTTCGCGCTCCTGCTTCTCCAGGCATGAGGCAGGGCCTCCCTCTGCCTTCTCCCGAGATCGTTTCCGGCCTCGCGGGGCAGAGTGCGCCTGGTCCCCACCCTTGTCGACGGTCACCTCCACTTGGGCTGGCGGGGCGAGACTGTTGGGTGGGGGGAGGGACGACGATAAGTAGGGAGAAGGGCGGCTACTGGCTCTGCCTGACCGTTGAAGTGCACCGGAGCTGCCCTTCCCCCCATTGCAGGGGGTGTGGGTCATGGCCACGGGGGCTGCATGCTAGGAGAGGGGGAGGGTGGGTAAAACAAGGGGGACGGGAGGGGGAGGAACAGCGGGAAAAGAAGGTGAGATCAGAGAAACTGCATGGAGTGGGGAGGGAGGCAAGGGGGGGGGGGGGGGGATAGGGAAAAACAGGGGGCAGCAATTAGAGGCGGGTTACGGAGCTCGACTGTGGGGAGGTGTACGGGGGGAAGGTGGGGAAACAGGGATTGGACAACCTGGAAAGAAACAGCCTGCAGGGAGGGGGGGGGGAAGGCAACGGGCAAGGGGGAAAAGCAGCGGGCAAGGGGGGGAAATAACAGTGGGCAATGGGGGGGAAAAGCAGGGCCAAGGGAGGGGAAGGCAACGGGCAAGGGGGGAAAAGCAGTGGGCAAGGGGTGGGACAAGCAGCGGACAAGGGGGGAGTAACAACGGGCAATGGGGGGAAAAGCAGGGGGCAAGGGAGGGAAAAGCAACAGGCGAGGGGATAAAGCCGCGGGCAAGGGGGGGGAAGCAAAGGCAAAGGGGGGGAAAAGCAACGGGCAAGTGAGGAAAGGCAGCAGGGAAATGTAGCAGTGGGCAGCGAGGGGGAACAATAGTGGGCCAAAGTGGTGGGCAAGGAGGGGAACGGCTGTGGGCACGGGGGAAAAGCAATGGGCATGGGGGGGAAAACGCGTGGGCAAGGAGAGAAAATAGGTGGGCAAGGGGGGAGAGTCAGTGGGCAAGTAGGGACAAGCAGTGGGCAAGGAGGGAAACAGCAGTGGACAAGGAGGGGGAAGAGTAGAGGGCACGGGGGGAGAGATGGGGGAAACAGAGGGCAGACTACTGGGAAACAGTGGGGGAGATATCAAGGAACCGGGAAGAGGGGTGGGGGAGACAGGGAGATAGGGGTAAACTGGAGGGGGTATAGGGGGAAGCCTGGTGGGGAAGGGGGGGAACCTGGGGGGGAGTGGGGGAAGCCGGGACGATAAAAGCGGAGAAACAGGCAGGAAGGAGAGGACGGCGTGCTGGGAAGGAAAGGACGGTGAGCGGGGGAAGTCAGGGACAGCGGGTGGGAGATTTGGGGGGAACAGCGGGCAGGGGAGAGGGGGGACGGCGGGCAGAGAACGGGGGAACGGCGGGCAGGGACGTGCTGGGGAAACGACGGGCTGAGAAGTGGGGGAGCAGCGAGGCAGGGAAGCGGGGGAGCAAAGGGCAGGGAAGTGGGGGAGCAACGGGCAGGGAAGCGGGGAAACAGCGGGCAGGGAAAGTGGGGGGAGCAGCGGGCAGGAAAAGTGGGGGGGAGCAGCTGGCGGGGAAGTGGGGGAGCAGCGGGCAGGGAAGCGGGGGAGCGGCGGGCAGGGGAAGTGGGGAAAAGCAGGGGCTAGGGGGGGAGATAACAGCGGCAAGGGGGAAAAGCAGCAGCAAGGAAGGACCGGTGAGCGGGGAAGTCAGGGACAGCGGGTGGGCGATTGGGGGGAACAGCAAACAGGGGAGTGGGGGGACGGCGGGCAGAGAACGGGGGAACGGCGGGCAGGGACGTGCTGGGGAAACGACGGGCTGGGAAGTGGGGGAGCAGCGGGCAGGGAAGTGAGAGGCGGCGGCCACGGGATTGGGGGAAACGGCGGGCAGGGCAGAGGAGGACGACAGGCAGGGCAGAGGGGGAAATGGCGAACTGTGGTGAGGGGGGAACGGCGAGCTGTGGGGGAGGGGGAAGCGGCGAGTTGGACAGGGGGCGAGGTGGTATGCTGGGGAGAGGGGGAAATTTCGAGCTGGGGAAAAGGGAGAGCGGCAAGCTAGACAGGTGGGGAAAAGGCGAGCAGGGGCAGAGGGGACGTTGAGGTGGGAAGGGCGGGCAGAAAATGAAGAGGGACGGCGAGGTGGGAAGGGAAGGACGGCAAGCAGGGAAGGGAGGGACGGTGAGCAGGGAAGGGAAGGACGGCGAGCAGGGAAGGGAGGGACGGCGAGCAGGGAAGGGAGGGATGGCGAGCAGGGAAGGGAGGGACGTTGAGCGGGGAAGGGAAGGGAGTGACGCTTGCTGGGAGAGTGGGGTGACACACGAGCAGGGACGTGGGAAATGTCGTGAGGAACGGAGGAAAAACGGCAGGTAGGGAAGGCGGTGAACGGCGGGCTAGGAGATGGTAACCGCGCTGACAAACTCCAGTTGTGGTTCTCACCTAATTTCGCGCGGTAACGACTAAAGGGGACGGCGCGCCAGGAAATACAGGAACGGTGCGCTAAGTGAGAGGGGGGGAAAGGACATCGTAACGACGTAAGTGAACACAGGAGCCATCTTGCGTGAAACGCAGCTAGATTACGAGTAGGTGACCTAGCGCGAAACGTAGCTACAATTAGGGTTAACCTCGTCCTGTAGTTCTACCCTTAGAGCTTAACGGTCCTGTCCCGGACCATCAAAAGAGGAAGAGGGGGACAGGGAAAGGAAGCGTGAGTCACGGGGCATTGGGCTTTTAGGTTTTGATAGCGTGGCTTGTCCGAAGCTTTGAAACTAACGAGTTCTGTGCTAGGAACGCGCACAGCTTGAGATTTTCGGTACGAAAGGGAGAGAAGGGAAAGGTCAGGACGTAGCGAGAGTGACGCGAGGGATGCCGAGGCACGGCGGCGAGGTTGATGGGGTGGCGAAAAATTGCTCGACACCCCAAGGTTGTGTTCGCCGCCGCTTCCGTCTCACCCACTCTAAGCCGTTGCCGATCCCTTCCCGTTACACTTCCGATGCAAACACTTATAACAGCTTATGAAACAGTAACGTGAACAGTAGAGAATAGAAAAGCTCCTTGGGAAGGTAGGTAGGTAAGCAAGGTCTAAACGCCAAAGGCCAAGGATAGTATTGGGCAGGGTGACCTCCCGGGAAGTCCTCGTGCTGTACCCATTTCTGCCTGCTCCCCTGCTCGGGAGGGGGCAGTGGGAAAAAGAAAGGAGGATTTTCTTCCGAACCGCCCAGGCGGCGATGTCGTGCGGCTGTGGGGACGGCCGCGCTCTGCATAGGACGTCCCAGAGAGTGACTACAGACGGGCGTCCGGCCCAGTGAGATGGCGAGCCTCTCGCGGGCATGACCGCGGATGTGACTATAAAGGTGGGAGCAGCCTTAGGGGAGGAGTGGGAAGCGGACCGGGGAGAGGGTCTACGTGGTACGATCATACCTTGGCTATTACGCCGGATCCCCTCAGAACTCCAAAGCGAAGCGCTAGTGGGCGAGAATAGTGTTCTCATCAATAACGACGAGGGTTACAACTCATATAGCACTTCTGTAGCCAAAAAGAGGTTTTAGGCAAGAGTGTTCCGCTGATATGGCACAGTAGCGTTAAGAGGTATAGAAGTGAAGAAGAGAGAGAGAAGAGATAGAGAAGGAAAGAGAGAGGAGATAGTGGAAGAAAGAGAGCGAGAAAGAGGAGAGAAACAGGAGAGGGGAAGGAGGGAGGGGGGGTGTGACTATATTAGAGGGACATCATGGGACCTAACAAAGCAACAGCCCACGCGCACATCGCGGGCACAGCGTCTCAAGCACGGCCTATTATATGTTTTTTACACATATGCATCATACATATACTGCATATCTGCTGCACTCTCGAAGCACCCTGTAATGTAGTGCCAGCTCCCCTGCCCAGTGCCCAAAGGTACAGGTGCTGGCATCCATCCATTGTCGGAGCCACCCAGCTGCCGCACTGCATGCTGCATGATCACATTTGCCTGCGCGCGCTGCAGTGCCACGCAGAGACGCGTAGTAAGGCTCGTCTCAAATATCCGCGCCGACCCGTCATCCCCTGCCCCAGAATCCCTCCTCCGCCGTGCTGTCCGCGATGCACACAGCCCTAGGATCTGCTGCAGTGGCTCACTCAGGCACCCAAAAGTCTCCACTACGCAGGCGTAGAACTCTGGATCCAGCTGCAACCCATGTAACACCGGCCTCCAGTGTCGCAGCTTATCCTGCACCCGCCTAGCTGCTGCGCCGCCAATCTGAGTGGGTGCCATCCGCCTGAACTGCGCATTCCCCTCCCGCTGTGGGGGTGCCACCGACACGTCTATAAATACAATTAATGCATCTCGCGGCGCCCTGCAAGAGACATCGGGAATGCGGCCGGGTGTCCCTATACGACCTGTGCGAGCGGCTGGCATCTGCTACTGCGTGGGCTGCTGCTCTGTCTGGTCCCCTAATGTCCCCCTTCTGGTTGTCGTGGTCCCCCTCCCAACTCCCCCTCTCACCCCCCCTCTCCTCCCTCCCGCTCTCCCCTCTCCCACTCCCCCTGCCACCCCCGCCCCTTCTGCCATCTCCTCTCTCCCTCCCGCCCCCCTCCCCTCACGCCCTCCGTCTCTCCTATACCCCCACCCCCTACCGACCCCTCAAGCCCACCCTAGCTGGATCCCATCAGAACTCCAAAGCTAAATGCCACTGGGCGAGAATAGTACAAGGCAGGGTGACCTCCTAGGAAGTCCTCGTGCCATACCCCTTCATGCCTGCTCCTGTGCCCGGGAGGGGGCAGTGGGAAAACGAAATGAGGATTGTCCTTCGAATCGTCCGGGCAGCAATGCCCTGCGGCTCTGTGGACGGCCGCTCTCTGCATAGGACGCCCCGGAGCATGACTACAGACGGGCGTTCGGCCCAGCAAGATGGCGAGCCCCTCGCGAGCATGACCGCGGATATGACCATAAAGGGGGGAGCTGCCTTAGGGGAGGAGTGGGAAGGGGACCGGGGAGAGGATCCACGTGGTACGATCATACCTTGGCTTCTATGCCGGATCCCATAAGAACTCCGGACTTAAGCTCCACAGGTCGAAAATAGTACAGGGCAGGGTGACCTCCCGCGAAGTCCTTGTGTCGTACCCATTCATGCCTTCTCCCGTGCCCGGGAGGGGGCAGTGGGAAAAAGAAGGAGGATTTTCTTCCGAAACTGCCCAGGCGGCGATGTCGTGCGGCTCTGGGGATGGCCGCTCTCTGCATAGGACGTCCCGGAGAGTGACCACAGACGGGCGTGCGGCCCAGCGAGATGGCGAGCCTCTCACGGGCATGACCGTGGATGTGACTATTAAGAGGGGAGCTGCCTCAGGGGAGGAGTGGGAAGCGCACCGGGGAGAGGATCCACGTGGTACGATCATACCTTGGCCACTACGCCGGATCCCATCAGAATTCCGAAGCTAGTCGCCAATGGCGAAAATAGTATTGGGCAAGGTGACCTCCCGGGAAGTCCTCGTCTCATACCCATTGATGCCTGCTCCCGTGCCCCAGAGGGGGCAGTGAGAAAAAGAAAGGAGGATTTTCCTCCAAACCGTCCGGGCGGCGATGCCGTGCGGCTCGGGGGACGGCCGCTCTCTGCATAGGACGCCCCGGAGCGTGACTAAAGACGGGCGTCCGTTCCAGCGAGATGGCAAGCCTCTCACGGGTATGACCGCGGATGTGAATATAAAGGGGGGAGCTGCCTTAGGGGAGGGGTGGGTGTTATAACCACAATAGGCTCAGATGTGCCTAAAATGAGAGAAATTGTGCAAAGTCAGAATTCTTTTAGACAGCGTCAAATATTGATGGCGATCTGATCTGTGCCTCAAATGGTGATTCGGAAATTGGATCTGGAGCGCGTTGCTGTCCCCTATCAACAGCAAGTTATATCGTAAAATTTCATGAAGATTTGATGACGCTATGGCGGTTATTCTGGCAGGAGGTACAGTAGCCACTATAGTCTTAGGAGTACAAACTTAGCAAGAAGAGTTCGAGGTAGAGATGGTTCCCAGCCTCTACATACCCCATGAGCCGAGGTCCAAGTTGGTGGCACACCACCACAGAGTCTCCACCTATGAGGAGACTAAAAAAAAACCCAACAAGGGGCTACACCAAGTGAAATGTAACACTACTTGAAGTAGCATTACTATTTTCATTATTTTAATATTTATCCATGTCCCTTGGGGCTTGAAATCTTGAGCTCTTGGTCTTCATTCTGCAAGATAAATTTGTCTTGAGTATATGAGGGCTTGCTGCACACACCTGCAACGCGATGGACACTTCACACTCGACAAAATAGAAAAAACACATGTGACACGCAAACAATGACGTGTCATGCGAGTTGTGATAACTCGCTAATGTCTTGACCGACACAAACCACATTGTGATACACCATTCAAACACACACACAAGCACTAGATAGCAATGACATAGACTCACAAGTCATTCCATGCCATGCATGCACACACACAAACAAGGACAACAAGCCGAGTGCAAGCCATAGTATATGGTGCATATTGGGAGGCTCACAAACCGGGAGGCTCTTTCTCACCGCCTTCTCTGATGCATCTTGGGCATCAGAACCAGAGGATATGACAAGTGTGGGAGGCTTCATCTGCTGTGTTGGTGGAGGCCCAACAGCTTGGGAGAGCAAGAAGCAAGTGGACCAAGCATTGAGCTCGGTGGAGTCCGAGTACATGGCACTCTTCCGTGCCATAAGGGAGGTTGTGTGGCAGCGGCATTTGCTAGCTGAATTGAGGGAGGAGCAGAAAGGACCTACCCCACTCTATTGTGATAGCCAGGGTGCTATTGCATTGGCTAAGAACCCGGTTCTTCATGCCCTTACCAAGCACATGAAGGTGAAGTGGCATTGGGTGAGGAGCATGGTAACCTCGGGTGAAGTGGAGTTGCACTACGTGAAGACGACGGCACAGCCTGCTGATATGATGACCAAGAGGCTGGTTGAGCAGCAGCATTGGAAGTGTTGCAAGCTTGCTGGGATGGCTCTGAACAAAGGGGAGCAGATTCTAAGGCCAACAATCCGAGGGGGAGTTTGTTGGTGCAACGCTATGGCTTGCACTCAGCTTGTCGTCCTTGTTTGTGTGTGTGCATGCATGGCATAGAATGACTTGTGAGTCTATGTCATTGCTATCTAGTGCTTGTGTGTGTGTTTGAATGGTGTATCACAATGTGGTTTGTGTTGGTCAAGACATTAGCGAGTTTTTACAACTCGCATGTCAAGTCGTCGTTTGCGTCTCGTATGTGTTCTTTCTATTTTGTCGAGTGTGAAGTGTCCATCGCGTCGCAGGTGTGTGCAGCAAGCCCCCATCAACTCGAGAAGAATTTATCTTGCAGAACCAAGACCAAGAGCTCAAGATTTCAAGCCCAAGGGACACGGATAAATGTTAAATAGTGAAAATAGTAATGCTACTTCGTGTAGTGTTACATTTCACTTGGTGTAGCCCCTTGGAGGGTTTGTTTCGAGACTCTTCATGGTTGGGGACTCTGTGGTGGTGTACCACCAACCTGGACCTCGACTCTTGGGGTATGTAGAGGCTGGGGACCATCTCTATCTCGAATTCTTCTTCCTAAGTTTTTTTGTACTCCTAAGACTATAGTGGCTGCTATACCTCCTGCCAGTCAAACTGCCATAGCGTCGTCAAATCTTCATGGAAATTTATGATTCAACCTGCTGCTGATAGGCGACAGCAACGCGCTCCAGATCCTATTTACAGATCACCGTTTTCGGCACACATCAGATCGGCATAAATATTTGAAGCTGTCTGACGGAATTCTGACTATGCACAATTTCTCTCATTTTAGGCACATCTGAGCCTATTGTGGATATAA